AATAAAAAGACAAACGTTGATTGGTTTTATCAGTAATACTATACAACATTCATTAATTATTCAGTGTTATATGCACCTTCTAACCACAAAAATAGATAAAGTTAATAAAATTACGTCAAAATTTATACGGAAACTATACTATACGAGTTAAACTCTGGTTAACCTTTTTTTGTGGTAAGACATATAATTTTGTCACTTTAGTACTTATTTCTAAGATCCCATTAAGTAGTTAATTTATACCCTCATCTGTTATATATCAGTGATAGGTACTCATTGACAAATTGAGAACAGGATTGCAGATAAGTTGTCGTAAGTTGCACTGACATGTATTAAAATGTAAATAAATCTAATTGAATAAAATCGGACTCCAAATAATACGCAACACATCCGAATCTACGACGGTGAATATTGTTTCGAATGCGGTAGATAATATTATGATCTATTGAGACAGATTTAATGAGCGAACTGGCAACGTCGCTGTTATTTTTTTTGAGGACGCCAAATAGGCGGAATTATAGTCAGAAAATCCCAAAAATATACAGCTGTGGATATACGCGCTACAGCAGCGCTCTAGCCGCGCTGAGATTTCTTTGGGAACTTTTCAAAATACTATAACAGCCATTGAACCGATCTTTTGGGGTCTGTCGATTTTTAACCTACGTGTAGCCAGGACCAAAAGGACCTAAGTAGCATAGACCAAAAAAGTGGCGTCCGGTATGCGGACGCCAAAAGCAGGTGGACGCCAGATTAAATGCACTTTTGCCTTCATGGGACGTCCAATCGATAGCGGGATGTAAATATACTTAGGTATTCTAACTATACTAAATTATACTCAGATAAAAGTTTCAAGTTTATTATTTATTTTCATTTTGATAATAGAGGTAGAGGTTACTAAATACACTACGCCTTGACACCTTTATTAGTATTCTGTGGCTTTATTGTAGTCACTATTACGTATACTAATTTAGCTTTCTGCCGGTTTATCCGGTTTACGCAAAATATATCCAAATCCATCCTCCTAATCCTAATATATCTCCAGTCCTGAGTATATCTCTATATATAAAAACAAATGGCGCGAAAGGTAGACAGAAACAAAAGTACCTACACTTATTATAGAGTTTCATGTCATAATCCTGAAAAGTTCCTAGGGCCATAGTTCTGAATAAATTTGAATATTCTCCTCCTGCAAACGACACTGGCAAACATTTTCTACACAGGAAATTCAGATCATGAAATGAACTGAAATGATGTATTTTGGCGTCAGCTTTGTTGGTCAGCTTACTACTTTACCCACCAACACGACCGCGTATAAATTGTGTAACTACTGTTTGTACTTAAAAAATGAAGGTGTACTTACCTATAAGAATAACTTTGAATTTTCGTCTAGGGATTTATCTGTAAGCTGTGTTAACAATAATTCACTGAGCACTTATCCTAGTTGTTTCAGCAATTTCGGAGGTCGTAATTCGAACGATGCTCATAGAGGTCGCTAGTGTAAACTGTTGAGACGTTAGCGGTTCAAATATTTCAGTTAATGTTACATCTGCCTCAGTTAATGGCGGTCTCAGCTCTGTTCATGTAAATAAATAATAATTATATTGTTTCGATACGTACGAGTCTATCTCTGTAATCAACATTACACATTGTGACGCCTACGTGTAGCGGTGTACGCGCGGTGACTCATCTTCCGATATCTACGAGTAGATAGTAAACTAAAATTAGAATTAGGATAATTATTTGCTAAAAATATATTTCGACTGGTAATTACAGCTCTGGTGGTTAACTTAATTATGTAAGTAGGTACATGTACACAGGTATAAAAATACTGAAACCTGGGACTCATAAATAATATAATAATACGAATTGCCCGCCCCACTGCGCTCCATCTGTGGTGACGATTATAAAAGATTTAACTCGTCGAGTACCGGTTTTGCAGACACAATTATAGAACAATAGGTTGCGGTCACCGGTGACCGCTTGGTATTTGACAGTTTAATTAATTAAATACTATAGTAAAGTGATATAAGTACCAAAATTATTAATAATTATATATTGCTTTAGATAATTATTCAAATGCGTGAAATAATTCTATCACTGTAAACCTATCAATATTTTGTACTATTATCTCATTATCGGCGACAAGCCAGTCTGTACTGGACAAATTATCTGCTGTGTTGGAGTCAACAGGAGTCACAATATATTGGAGTGCGGCGACAGCAGCGCGGTGCAGTGCGAGTGTGGCGCGTGCGCGGTGCATGCAGAGCTCGGTGCGAGTCGCGCGCGCAGCTTCCCAGAAAGCGTTTTCCTGGTCACGGCGAGCGCAGATTGCGCTGACGAATCCCTACGTCACGTCGATGACGCGGTGTCGCGAATCTTAGTATAAAAACGTGCGTGTTGGCGCGCCGCGTCCCCTAGTGTTCGGTGGTACCGAGTGAGGACAACCTGGCGCCCCGCAATGAATACATGGACTCCGACGTGGACGAGTCGGGGGATGACACCGTGCCCGCCGGTAATGTCCGCCTCAGTGACCAGTGTTGTGATGTGCCAGTGACCACTTGTGATGCAAACATGAGCTCTAAGTCTAAGGTGTTATGGTTCAGTTGTTGTGTCGTAACCTCTCGCTGGCCTGATGCCGGCTCTGCCCAGGACCTCCGCTTACTGCCTAGTGCCTTGTGTCTTGTTACCCCTGTGTGGTAGTCGCGTATGTATTTGCATGGGTTAAGGAAAATATTTCTCTGTGATGTGCATTGTAATTTTTGTTCGGCAAATATGTATTTGTTTTATAAACCAGACACAAAAACATGAACCTAAAAATTCGCTTTCTAGTAATACCATTCATAAAAGTAGGCCTCCACATTTTTGTCAATTTAATCATTGTTTAGATTCATTGAAATAAGGTTATTGGCTTATTGCTAACCGTTTTGGTTAAATATAACCTTATTAATTTGTTGAACGACATCAACTCTGACCTCATGAAACTAAATGAGTTATATTTCAAATGAAACCAATTTAGTATAGTTAAATTGTAAACAAATAAATAATTGATTTCTTTAATTAGGTAAATATTGTAGTGTTGCATATTGTCATAAATTGAAGTCAAAATTAGGCTACGGCCGGAGCAGCGTTTAGGCCTACCTAACTACGATTAGTTAAAATCAATTTCATGTATACAGAAGTGTTACTTACAAACTAATAATTACATGTCGGGATTATTATAGACTTATATACGTAGGTACCTAATATGCATGCATGAATCATTTAAATTAAATACAACTAATCTCCATAATATTTGTACTAAGCAAAGCTGAGAACTTTTTTCAACCAATTATTATCATACAATACAATTACTTTATTTTATTTTGAATTAATTCCTCTTTATATCTCTTTATTTATTTGAATTAATGCCTCTTTCTTCTGACTCTAGAGTTAAACTCAAACTCAAACTCAAACTCAAAAGCATTTATTTCAATTAAACCATAATTTGGTACTTTTGAAACGTCAACAAATATGAAATATATAATAGTCTGTCAGTCTGTCCGTCAGTAAAGCTAGGCGCTCGTTCCAAAATGTCGATTCGAGTGGAGAAGAACGAGCAAGAAATTCCATTCGTTACTCTTTTAAAAAAAATCTGTTTTACATTGCTCTGATACATATTCCAATGTTGTACACACATGTGAGAATAATGTAAAGACATACCTGACGCAACATACAAATAACAGAACATACTAAAATAGAAAAAAAAACAAAACCAAGAGAAAACAAATATCTTAAGTCTGACATGGTCCTCACATATGTATACTGACAATCCATATAAAATAGTGCTTCTATACAAGAAAAAAAATAAACCTTTGTTTAAATAAAGAAAGAAATGCTCGATGCCACAAGAAAAATAGATTGCCTTCATCGGAATCAAAGTATTAAATTACCTATTATCGTAATCTGAACTAGGTACTGACTACATTTGTTAAATACTTAAGTTATGCTTTACCGGTATTTTATGCAGGCGAATATTATAACGCGCCTAATACATTTTCTTTCATACCTAAAATAAAAAATAATATTAAACGTGGTCTGGGTTTATGATAATTGTGTGCCTATGATATAGAATAACTAGTCAGGAGTTAGAGAAGTTCAATAAATAGAACAGAATAAAAGGTAGAATATACTCGCCAAGTCACAAAGTAGGTACCTAACTAAAGATAATTAATTGTACAAATGTTGCAAACGTATCCATGCACTGTTTGTAAGTTCTAGGGCCATATATAAACGGACCTGTAAAGACAGTGAAAATCAATTATCAATGGTGTTTTTCAAGCATTTTTGATACATAACATAACTTCAGGCCTTTTATCCCCGAAGGGGGAAAGCAGAGGTGCACATTACGGCACTTACCTAATGCCACTGTACAAAGTAACAACCACTTTGCACTATTTTATTAGGTACTGACATTTTTTTTTTAATCCCAGTAGTTCAAAAAATAGTCAAAAGGTCAAAGCATTTATTTTAATTAAATCATAATTTGGTACTTTTGAAACGTTAACAAATACAAAATAAATAATAGTCTGTCAGTCAGTCCGTCAGTGAAGCTAGGTGCAGCTAGGTGTTCATTCCAAAATACAGATTCGAGTGGAGAAGAAAGAGCAAGAAACTCCATTCGTTATGTAGATAACGAATATTTTAAAAAAGAAATAACTATGTTCTACAATGTCTCTGATACATATTCCAATACTGTACGTATATGTGGGAACAATGCAAACACACGCTAGACGCATTATACTAATTACAAAACTTACTAAAATAAAAAAAAACAACAAATACAAAAAAAAATCTACAAAATTACTCTGCCCGACCCGTCCTATAACTATAATACCTTCTTATGAAGTATTTAGTATTCCATATAATTACTTAGTATTTTGTTTTAATACCTACTACTTACATACATACATAATCGCATGCCTGCCTCCAGAGTACATATAGGCAGAGACTATGCTAACTAACTCGAATTGCTACAATTCTTACATACCTTTTCGCTTTTTGAACTGTCACCAGTGTTTCATGCAAGCTCGTCGATTATAATGTTTTTGAATACCTATTCAACAGGTGAAAGAGTAAATTAACTAAAAGTTAAAACGAAGATTTTAAGCTGTAATGATGGCATAAACCCTTACCATGTTCTCTGTTTCAATATAAAATGTGCCATGAGAATCATGATTTGATTTGGTTTACAGTAATAATATGATCCTTCGCAAACTCTACGTTCTTACTGAACAGTTTGAATAGTCCTTCATATTGATTATTTTATTTATCCAGAATTCGTAGTACCTAAGTAGAAAGAATTATTATACACTTAGTTATTCACGATCAATCGTCATACAACCTTCTCGAAACATTTACAGTTAGTAACGTCTATTACTAAATCAAATGTTAAGCTTCAACACCCTCGCGGCTACGAGGGCGCTACGAGAGAGCTACGAGTTGCATTTCATTGCACACCGAAAGAGACCGACCCAAGTGCGCGCTGAAATGAGTTAAATTACTTCATTATTTTGTTATAAACTGAAATATTATTAACAAAGAAACTAAAATTCATCAACATCATTATTATGTCAATCACAATACGTCTGTTGCTGAACATTGGTCTTTCCCAATCCGTAGGATTCCACATGGAAATGGACCTAGTAAAATGTCTTACTATCCAGCAATTCTATCGTAAAAATCCTTTAATGAGCAACCAATCGACTAGATGCAGTTAAATATAATATCGAGAAAATATCTATAGGTAGGTACCTACAGTCGTTATCGATATACAATACCAAGTAATTACTATGACAGTACCGAACACAAACGTACAAATACTATATCAGTGATAGGGATGCTTTTCAATGTTTATGACTTTTATAATCACTCCTCTCTCTAAGTATTACCAAGATTAGATATATAGAAACCACCTGTTTCTGTTCCTTATCAGTTACTATATTAATTATCTCAACGATTAACGCTAACTACGTGGAGATCGGGAACTTCCTTGTCGTGAAACTAATCGAGACACACTTGTACTTGGCAACCTTCATTACCTACACGTGCAGTTCACTATGTGGCAGTTGGAAATATAATTATCATCCACATCTAATTTTGCAATAATACACACAAAAATTTAAATACAACACTACAATACTTGATACTGCAGTTCAAGAAAACAACAAAATCGGCAACATATTTGAAAAATAACCTGTTTTTCAACCGACTTCAAATAAAAGGAGGTTCTTAATTCGTCTGTTTTTTCCTAAAGAACCTGTTTTTTCCTAATGGTTTTGATCTGCTTTACTTACTATTGCTGAATGTCATGTCTGGTTTGGGTAACTTGCATTTTCGTCGTCGCCACATTGTTTGTGTTAAGAGATTCTTAACTTCTCCAAGGCCAGGGTCTAGCCTTGATTTTCTTGTGTAAGGCTTATAGGACAGTTAGCACTGAGGCCCTACCTGTGGTCGCGGGCGTGCTTCTGGTCGATCTTGAGGTGCAGCGATGTGCTGCTATGTACTATAATGCGAGACGAAATTTATCAGCAAGCTTTCTAAGTTTCTAGCACAACGTGATCGAAATAAAATTGCTAGATTGTTCAAGCCACTAACGGACGTTTGGGGCGAGCTTATAACTGAATGGCAGCGTAGATGGGAATCTTTTATTAAGGGCCGCCACTTTTATTTAGATTTTAGTAAAATTTCTGTGGTTCTTGGCGACTGGGCTTCACCCAGTTGTACAGTCTCTTTTCTTTGTGCCTTTAGGCTTAATTCACTCTGTCTCTTGCAGTAATTCACCGAGGGAAGTGGAAACCATCGTATTTTTCTTCTCCTCTTATAATACCTTCTGATTCACTTCGTTGCGGGAATCAAGACAGTTATACATGTCCCTGGGACGCGCCGGACTTCAGTGTTCCGGTGTTTTCATGGTTGTATCTACTGTAGATCCTGGCTTAGAGGAGTTGCAGCGGTTCTGGGAGGTTGTGGCGGGCTTGTCCCTTTAAAAAAAAAGAGATTCTTAACAGACTGAATACAAAATACATAAATCACACCACTGCCCCATGAGGTTAAGCTGGAACAGAACGCCATCGTTACCAATCCTTATCATAAAGTCTTTGATTCTTCCATATTCCATTACTGGCATCTGGTGTTTTGAAAACTTACTACAATAACTTTTAGATCCTATTTAGGTACTTTACCCTGAAAATTAAAATTCGACGTAACTACACAAAATTTGCATTTAAAATATTATTCCGCGTCACTAATCATTGTATCTTTCAGTGTTCAGCGACCGGTAATTGTTCCCATGTTTTATGGACAATGGCGATAGATTTCTAGGCCTGATTATAATATTATAATTTGTTTGTTTTGTCCAGATCCAGAGAAGTGGGAGCGTCCAGATGTGCTGCGGTGTGTGCGCTGGGTGGCGCGCACGTTCGGCGTGTGTGCTCCGCGCAAACATCTCCTGCCTGACACCGGCCGCGCACTGCTGGCCCTCACCGAGGATAACTGGGTGCAGGTATAGGGACTTACTTTTTATTCCTGTATATCCCCATTGCTTAAGTGCAGGTCGATACTTTCCTATTAGAAGAGACCTATAACCAACTTTCTTTTCATTCATATTAAGTACCTAACATAGTTTTTTCATTTTCACACCATCCAACGTTATACAAGTCTACTAATATTATAAATATGCCTTCACGTCAAAACGGCTGAAGGGATCGGGATGAAATTTGGAACAGGGGTAGATTATGGTCTGGAATAAAACATAGGCTACTGTTTATCCCACGGACCGCGGGCGTAGCCGCGTGCAGAAGCTAGGGCTTAATGACTGCTATATTAATTACAAGTAATTAACTACTCGTGGGAGGAATACCGGGTTTGTACATACATGGTACTCTCGAGCTTGTAAGTAAATAATGCTTATAATTGTATAGGTATAATGTTAACAGGAACGTCAGTTTCGGTTTATCAATTATCCTCCTACAATAACACTCAGAATTAAAACATTAAGACCAAAGTTGTGAATGAAATCTCCGGTAGTACATACTTTCCCAATTTCACACGATCACCATACCTAGGTACAGTCAGTCATCGAACTGAAACTCTAACAGACCACTGAAAATTAGTTTAACTGCGTCCAATCAGATTATATCTAACTTTCTAATCATCAATCATTACAGGTTACCGTACATTTCAATTATAAGTGAGTAGTTTATGAAACATGCACTAACTCACTGAATACACTGACTAAAGAACTGAAAGTGCATCTAGTCTAGTGATCATCTAGTGATCTATTCAGTACGTAGCTTTTGTGTGAAAAAGTAACGTTCTTCTGACCATCTTCACAACGTTGTCAACTTCTTATATTAGACCTTATGATTATTATACTTGTGACCAAATTACTAATAATCCCATTGCTGTATGTGATGCAGGTATGCGACGGCAGCGAGCAGTCAGCGCGCATCTACCACGCGTACCTGCGGCACGCGCACGCCGGCGCCACGGGCCAGCCGCCGCCGGAGCCGCTGCCCGAACACCAGGCCACCACCAGCGCTACTGCTACTGATTACAGTGAGTACTAACTCTTAGCATTTCAATTAAATCATAACAATGTACAGGCGAAGTGCCTGTGTACCCTTGGGAACATCAATTATTGAACGCAAATAATGAAAGAAGCCTAAAAAAAGAGCTCTCTTTTTAGGAAAAAGTAAGGTTGAAGTAGCAATTGAACAAAAAACAATTTACCTACCTCTATATTTCAGTTGACTATAATTTCAGTGTATAATCTCCTTAACGATTGATATTTCATAAAAAAAATCTTTACGACAGAGTTAATTGTACCGCGTTTGTCAAAGAATACCGAATCTCTCTTAGATATTGTATGAAATTAAAAAAAAAAGAATTATATGAGTTACATACATTTTCCACGTTTATTTAACTAAACTTGAAAAAAATACATAACACCTCTTTGATGAGCCAGCCACTGAACAACAGCTAATATTTATATGCCCAATGTAACTGAAATCTTGCTTGCCTTTGGTTTGTTTGCTGTTTTACATCTGTGAATAATATTTTTTGGTTCTAAATATGTCAAAGATCATGGAAAAAATATATCATTTAGAATTTCGTATGGATTTATTAGCGTATAGTTTATTTGATAATACCGCCATCTATTGACAACTAACGCAGTAACATCTTACGAGTAGAAAGCGCGCCAAAAAACTTATGAATGGACGCGATGAGTCATTGAGCGAGGCGCGTTCCATTCATCTCACACGGTTGAACTGACTCACATAGATTCATGGAAATTAAACTTTGAACCGTAATTGTTGGCCAATTTATATAATTTCGTATAATATTATTCACTTCAGTATAATTGGAAACTGTATTTGTTAATATTAGGTTAGTCTTGCGACATGTAATTCTGGAATTACGTCGTAACATTTGAAGTATATGGGTCACCTGTGTGTTTAGGGTCACCGCACGCTAAACTATGCGACTGTAAAGAATGTGTTCTTGCCTCTTGGTGCTACCTATACCTACCTATACGAGGTGCAAGCACTATCATTATATATTTCTTTCCTTTTCGTTTTTTATTGTCTGAGAGTTGAAGTTATTTTGCTTACCTTCCATATGCCTATAGATAATGTTTTATGCTAATGAATCTATTAGTAACCCACGGATGTTGTGTTAATTTATTTGTGGCCTTACAATTTTATATTTAAAATGAAAAAAGTACCTGCTAAAGGTGTTTTTACGCATCGAGTGATTTGTTTAAAACGTTGAATAGCTATAAGTTCAAATTAAAACACGATTTACTTTTATTTGGAAATGTGTACAGGTCCTGTATATTTTTGACCTTTCCCTCATCTTAAGTCCCTGGGGAGTCTAGGATAGATGTGATCTACCCCAAAGTGCTGGCGTATCTTAATGGATGGAATGGGCACCGGTCATTACGCCCAAAGCCAATCGAGCCCGCGAGTATCGGGGGCGCGATGTTATTCAATTGTTTTTGTATTCTTTTTACAAAACAACATCACGCTCAAGAAAAGTGAAATATTTATTTTTTACAATTAATTCTTTCGCGTTGAATGTGTCGTTCGTGTTAAAAACATTAAAGCCACGCGCTACATGGTTGTCGTGTTTGAGTTGCTGCCAAAATATCATCGGCGCCCATTCTTTGGTGATGTGGCATCCATCTGGCATCCTCAACAACTTCCGCAGAAATGGATGCGGTATGTGTTGTGGAAAAAGTGTAGAACTGTATAGTCAGTAAGTAGTTAGGAGAATAATTGCAAGTTTAGTCAGATGTTCAGACAAATAAATTCATCGAACTTTAGCGAGCGACAAAAAACAACATGCATTTCTACAGAAATTCGGCGGACAGATCATTTAGTTTTTTCTTTTGAATTTGGAATCATGATGGAGATTCCCGTGCACTGGCAAGATGGCGCGCATATTTGGCGCGCTCCCGCTGCCGTTCCGTTACTCACGCGGCCGTAGCACGCTACTGATTCACTACGCTTTTCACTGTCAGCTCCGTGGGCACCTCATTAACTGGCCTCATCATTATTATGCTTGCGACTTTTTTATTAATATTATTATGTCATGTCAGTAACTTTTACGGATAATAGTTATAATTAGGTACCCAGCAACAGCTACGAAACTCGCGAGAATACATTATAGAATTTGCAAATTAGTTCCAGTTCATGAGTATAATAAAACTAACACCTCGGTACCTAGGTACCATTTTTCTTAGTAAATATTTCAATTAAATATTGACGTTTCCATTGACAGCCAAAATAAATATAAAACGACCAGCAATATGAGGAAAAGTTGACTGCAAATATATCTACTAAAGTAAAAAATAAAAGACATCGCTCAGACCTTGCAGGTTGAATAAATGATTGCAGCGAGCACTGTCCAGATGAATGCTTTATTGGTTAAATGCGATGACTAAATAATTTGTAAAGCAATCATTCTTAGAATAAACTTTCTACAGACAGGTCAGCACAGAGCCGGATCTATCGGTATAGCGTTGATTAGTTAAATGTTTTATTGCCTGCTGGCACTAAGTAGTTAGTTTGTACCGACTGTCAACAGATGAGGCTCGAGCCGGTGACTAACCAGTACCTCGTTATCTTACACAAGATGGTTCAAATACTAGAGCTCGAGTGCTACACGATAGCGGAAGTGAATCAATATTTACTCGGAACTGATTGTGAATCACTGTTCCGGATTGAATCACTACGATCTCAAAGCGTTGAATGAATTAAATTCTTAAGCTTTGAGTGATAGTGTTTATGTTAGCTTGCGCGTGCGCGCGTCCTTACATCTCTATGTGAGTAATGAGCAGGCGCCGGCGGTGTTTGCGCGCATGCGTCGTGGGAGAGTTGTCTGTTACAAGTGTTATGTGTCACTTTGGTTACTTCCATTCATTATTACAGATACAGATTACCTCCTCTGATGCTGTACTCACAAACTTATCGATACTTGTAGTAGATGGAGACAGATGACAGTGTAAAATTAGGTCATTGACTGGTTCATTCATTCAAGGCCATACTCAACAGGTTGGGGTTTTCCAATAGATTCATCATTCATGTAAAACTATTTTGTAAGTTGATTCACGTACGATATCGTACATTATTTAACATTATAGGCAGCTTTTATAAGCAAACATATCATTAGCTGCACAACTAAGAAATAATGGAAACTGAACACGAACTGAATCATTGAACCAAGTCGCGTTCTTTAGATACGATGATAATATGTGTCCCTAGACTACACTCCTCCTATAGTCCCTAAACTACACAAAATTACAAAAAATATATGAAATAAAGATCATAATTTATGTCCATTTTGCATGTGTCGCGTCACACATTTAAAGCCATTAGCAAATAGCATTTGTTGCAAATTAGAATAAGAAAGATGCGACAGTTGTGCCCGACCCCGATGTCTTGATGTTACAAGTGACCTTTATATTTATTTCTCGAGTAAATTCGCACAAACATCATAAATATGACCGAGTTTGTTTTACTGAGTGCTCGCCTGCTATTGGCCGGCTCAGGCCCAGACCCTCCCACACCACACACGAGGCATCCTCTGCAAACCACAGTAAATTAGATTTTTTGTGGTCTGCTAACACAAACAGTTTAATTTCAAAAAGACTCGAGCACATTAATTCTTTTGGTTGAATCAGAAGGTTGCAGGGGTGACCTCGACATAATGGCGCTTAAATTACAAATGTCTGAATGATTTAACGCATTAATATAAAACCATATTATTTAATAAATTATGGTAGTTTAATGTATAAATTGAATATTATGTACAAGTGAAGAAACAATAAGCTCTACTTTAATCTGGTATTCTCCGTCACTTAAGCGGCTCATAAAGGAGAAACATAAGTACCTACGCAGATTTAGGTTATATGGTGGGATATCGGATGGAACGACATTCAGGCTTTTACGCGAAAGGGTGAAAAAGGTTGAGAGTGAATGTTATGCGAATTATATATATATATATCGCTTCTACTGAAGCATCTATCGGGAGAAACCCTAAGTCTTTCTGGTCATTTGTAAAGCACAGATCTAAATCTACCTCAATCCCCAGTTATTTTAAACACAAGGATGTATCGATTTCCTCGCCCGAAGAAATTTGCAATGCCTTTAGCTTGCATTTTTATTCCAACTTTCTTGCTCCGACTGGTGTTGATTCCAACGTTACTCCTGAGTGTCCTAATTACATATTGGATACTTTGTCTAATATTGGCGCGATTGAGATAGATGTCGAACGTGTCAAAAAATTATTAACCAATCTTGATTCAAGCAAATCGGCTGGTCCTGATGATTTGTCCCCCCAGTTTTTGATAGGCTGTGCAAAAACTATCGCTGTGCCCGTTACTATGCTGTTTGAGAGATCTTTGACTGAATCTGTCGTTCCTCAGATTTGGAAGTCAGCCTATATAACACCAGTGCATAAGAAGGGTTCAAAGAATGAAGTAGCTAACTATAGGCCAATATCCAAACTTTGCATATTGGCAAAGGTTTTTGAGAGAATCGTGTATGATCAGGTTTACGCTGCGGTTAGGAGCTCGTTTAGTCCCACGCAACATGGTTTCCTGAAGGGTCGCTCCACAGTATCGAACTTGATCTTACTAAATGACTACTTGACTGACAGTATGGATGGTGGGGCACAGGTTGATGTCATTTATACCGACTATAGCAAAGCCTTCGACAGAATTGACCATAATATCCTTAAAACTAAGCTATATCGTATTGGTATATGCGGTGACTTACTCAGATGGTTTGCATCCTACCTAGAAAACAGGTCTCAAGCTGTCGTAGTCAATAACTACATATCTAGCTGGGTCAAGATTCCAAGCGGTGTTCCGCAGGGATCTCTAATTGGCCCCCTACTTTTCATCTTATACGTGAATGACATTGACCTCTGCTTCCATAGCTCTAATCTTCTTATTTTTGCCGACGACATGAAGATTTACTCCAAAATAACATCGGTGGAGGACATGCTGGCTCTCCAGGATGACTTAAAGCGCCTGGATGAGTATTGCCAGT